ATCAGTGATTATCTATTTATAGTTCAGGACATCAGCCAATCAGCACCGCCGTACTTTTAACAATACTAACTTCCTCTTCCTGGTTTAAAACATGTGCAAATGTAATTTTGATTTATACTTTGTCCTTCGTAAACAACAAAGTCGCAACAGAAAATGAAATACACCTAACTTAATTTGAATTATATCCTATTACTAACCTGACGCAATTGTGTGTTAATTTGTATGTTAACGTTTAAAAGTAAAATAATGATGTAGTTTTAGCAAGCTTTGATTTATTAACTGACTTTTTATAACACTTCAGACTTCATTTGCTATCATTATTTATAACTATTAATATGTTGATTGTGAAATCAGTTTGTAAGATTTTAGTATGGCAAATCTGTCAACAGTTATACTGATACAATCTCCGTCAATAAGTCAAAGCTTGAACAAGATGCCGCCTTGCTTAAACTTCATCAATATACAAATTGGTAAGTTTTGGCATCTTGTTTTAAAATTGTAATTATCTCTCTGTAGAATATATATAGTCAAAAGGCTACGTGTACAGTGTTTTAACGGAAACGTAAATTTTATTTGAATACTGTACTTTACTCTTTCTTTAATGGTTTTGTCTCACTAAAAGTTTTGGAAAAAATTATATCTGTTTTTGGGATATCATAGAGAAAATTGGTCAGCCAACATTAAATAGTCTGGTCAGATTGCACAGACGTACAGACTTGCCTAGCACGATATTGGTCGCAAAGGTAAATAATTTGGCTACCAGCAGGGCCAGTTATTATAATGCTAAAACTATTTTACAACAAATACTCTACTTTAATAATCTGAGCTGAGTTTGCGATTGTTTGTAGTATGAGGAAACTTTAAACATACGTTCAAGTGAGCTATATATTCTTTAAATGAAGATGTTCCTTTCCCTGGATGTGTTATTTACAGGAACCGAACGGCAAATCATTTCAATCGAACACCACATTCTCTTTGGAGGGTTTTCTTATGGACTTAAAATAAAAATACCATATCCTGAAAAAAGGGAATCCACCAGATGCAAGGAGTATAATGTAACAATCAATAGGCAGAAATCGCAAAACTCGGGATGATTAAATCTGTTCAAGTGAAAACGTGGACAATAGAACAACGCTCCATATTACCGGTTTACGGATTACTCAATCTACAAGTGGCTGACGATTCTCAAGTTTTGCTGAACGGATAAGAAACAACACTGCACATGAATATGTCCTTTCCCTAGCAGGATGGGCTCTAAACAATCTGATAGTTTGATTAAACCTCTGATTACATAATTTGCTATGGCGCAACTAGTTCAAGGCAAGTAACATTAACCAAACGGCCAAGGCGAGTCCTCCTTTTCGAGCATATTTGGCACAAAAATGTATAACTTAAACATTAATGGATGTTTAATGAGAACTGCACACAGTTCTGTGCCGTTCTGTGAGTGTTCTACTATAGTTACTTAAAAAACGAAACTATAGACGCCCAGCTAAATCACAAATTGCACTTCAACAATTACGATTAAAAACGTATGTTTTAAAGGGTAAATATAGACTGCAACGCACTTTTCTATCCAGTTTATCCATCCGCTCTACACTTTGAAATTACAAAAACCAAAAATAGAGACTTACATTGTGATACAGTTGATAATCCTCTTAATGTGTGTCTTGGTAAAAAAGAAACTGAAATTTTAATATCCTACGCTATTTAAGCAAACCTATTCAACTACTATGCAGAGAATTTACCGGACTGAACAAAAATATAAAGCCATATTTGCGACAATATGATCTTTTATTCCGTGTAAAATGCACGAAGTAAGCGTGTTGCACGCTTGGCCTGTAACTTTAGAAAATAATTGAACTTAGATGATTAGATCAGGTAGAAAGATGCCGATAAGAAGGTACATATTTTACTATACATGAACTTAGGAGTTATTGGTGTAAAATACTGGTACAATACATGTACGAGGGATGTTCGAAATGTATTGCTTATTTCTATCTGGAGACTTCAAATTTCAAGTTAGCTCAAAAGTGTTCATTTCATGCCCTTGATTTTTGTTTTGTTTTGTTTTGGGTTTTACGTCACATCGACACAGTATAGGTCATATCGCGACGTTCCAGCTTTACTGGTGGAGGAAGACCTCAGGTGCCCTTCCGTGCATTATTTCAGGCACGAACGGGCACCTGAGTAGAACCACCGACGTTCCGTAAGCTAGCTGGATAGCTTCCTCACATGAAATAATCCAAAGTCCCTGTCGGGATTCGAACCCACAGCGGTGAGGGGCAAGTGGTTTGAAGTAAACGACCTTAACCACTCGGCCACGGACGCCCCTCATGCCCTTGAAGTACTCCCCATGGCTAGAAATGCAAAGTTTCAGCCGATGTATCCACTTCTTGAAAGCGTCACGGTACGCTGATTTGGGCACAGTAATAAGGTACTGATGAATGGCAGATCCAAGTGCCTGTCGGGACTTGTATTTACGCCCAGCAAGGAAGGATTTCAATTGCGGAAACAAAAAGATATCACATGGGGAAAGGTCTGGAGAATACGGGGGGTGAGGCAAAACAGTTACTTTTTCTTTTTTCAAAAACGCCGAAACTATTGCGGAGGTATGAGCGGGGGCATTGTCATGTAGAAGACGGATATGCTTAAAACCAGTGTCAGGGCGTCGTTTCTTATAATACGTTTTCAGTTTCTTAAGTACTACGTCTTTGTAGTACTTCCCAATGATACTTTTGCCCTTTTTCACCGGCACTTTTTTGCGACTCCTTCACCAGAGAAGAAAATTGCATACACATATGATAAACAAGATTAACAATTTTGGCAATTATTGGGCGTTTGTTGTGTTTAGTGGCCCAGATTTTGTTGCTAACTTTTCTGACGGGCTCAAAATAATGGACCCAAGTTTCATCACCTGTGACGACATTGGCAAACTGTTTTTTGTCATATTTTGGAAACATTTGAAGCAGCTTTTTGGCCACCTTAACCCGTTGCCTCTTTTGCTCATCGGTCAACAGATGTGGCACCCATCTAGCAGAAATCTTTCTGACTTTCAAATGCTTCTTCAAAATAAAGTGAACCGTTGATAGTGATATGCCTACCTTTCGTGCAATATCACGAACTGTAAATCTGGCATCTCCTTCAATGATATCCTTTATTTTGGAAACGATTTCGTTACGAGATGCAGATTTTGGCCTACCTGATTTTGGTGCATTTTTGATGCACTCTACACCAGACTCAAATTTCTTTTTCCATCGCCTAACTGTGTCATAAGACACATAAGAAGGCCCATAAGCAGTAGAGAGTTCAGTTATCAACTGCTTCAAAGAGCAACCCAGTTTTGAGCGAGCTTTGATGTAGGCCCGTGTTGTATCTTTTTTGTCGAAGCTTCTACCAACCATTATTACAACAGTGGTCAATGACTGCGTGTATTTAAATGGCAAATTGTATGTCTTACACTTAGTCTAACATGTACATTTATACACCGTTGTGTAGGTATTGAATTACCCTATACAGGTATGTATTAGTTTTTATCTTGTGCCACGTGGATCACGAGATAGAGGACAATAAGCAATTCTTTTCGAACAGCTCTCGTATCAATTTTTTGTCGTGTATACAGTTTTGTATACGCTCAGTATTCCTACGCACACCGTTTAAATGCCTGTTTATTTCTTATATTGAATGTTTACGTTGACAAATATCATCAGAAAACAATTAAAGAATGACAATTTCCAAATGTATGGCAACCTAAAAAAAGTTGCCCTGTACCTCACTTCAGTGTAGTTGTATTTCTGTATTTCTCTGGTCCTTCGGGATCATTGAGGCCAGCACTTTTAAGTATTGAGAAATGAGTACCGTTCAAGTCGGTGCAAGGGGGCGTGGGTGATGTTGCACTGTTTCATTTTCCCTCATGTGCAGACTCAATCAAACCGAGTCTGCAATTTTCATGTAATTTTGCTGTCTTTAATGCTTCAGAGGGATCACTTTTTCACAGATACTTATATACTTGTACATTATTTGGTACGAATATATTAATTTGTTCGATGGAAATTTCTTTTTCAACCAGTAAATGTTTTACATGTACTAGTTGTTTTGTTTTAAAGTTTGGTCCATAAATATAATGGCATACTTTTGCTAGCCGATAAGCACTTAATATTAATATTAATTAGAAAACAATAACATGTAAATGAATAGATAAAAATGATGTGCTTACTTTGTAAGTGCTGGCAGTTTTAGGCACTTTTTACTTTTTATATAAAATATTTACTCGTCATTAAACATTGTTTTACAGAAAATATATTTATAATTAATCAGATATTTATCTGTTCTTAATTAATATATATAACATAACAGGTAACTTGTAAATTAATTTGATAATCTATGAGGCAATAAAGTGTTTCATTGTAAGTAGGAATATGCCCTATAATTTTCTCCTTTCTTTTCGAAATCTTATTCATATCTGATCTCTTTCGTTAAATCCAATATTCACAGATATAAATCGTCCAAAATCAGGACGGATTTGATTGATAACCGTTGTGATCGTTGAATAGTAACCTGATTGCTGATTGGTTGTAGCCAAAAGTGCACGAATGCAGACAATCGAGAACCAGATAACACCTATTTTAACAGGCATTGATTAGAAAGGTACATGTAATTGATAAATTTGGCCTACTACTTATTTATGGAATGTAAACTGTGCATTATTAGATATTTATACTATTTAATTTTACATGTTCTGCGGTGTAGAAAGTCATATTGTTCTCTATAAGTCAAAGTACCGATAATAATATTTGATAAGTTACGCAAAATTTACAAAAAAAATCAACTTCTTTAACTATTTTCGATTCTTTGAAAATATTAAGAAAGGTTATGCTATGAGAGTGCGTAAACTTTGTCATGCACACGCTTTCATTTTATTCTGCAAGAGGGTTATTATTTCTAATCTCCTTGTATAATTAGTAAAAGGACCTTGTCATCAGTACACAATATTCTTGAAATACGTATTTATTGTAGATTTTATTAACGCTTCATGTTATATCATAAACATTATGATTCTAGTAATTTATTAACAAACATACAAATACGTACATCATAAAAACTAATATGTGTTATCTTTAAAACTTTTTTTTTATATCCTATTTACGTTTGGCAAAGTTAACAAAAAACCCTACCAAATATACCAGTAATTCCCCTTACCCAAATGTTAAACACTTGAAATGTTGGAGTTGTATCTGTACAAGATTATATATCATGCGTACCTAGATTATAATACATCTAGTTACTTGCTTCAAACAGGTTACATCAGGATTCTTTATATAGTTCACTGATAAGATGATAAAAGTTATATCTTTACCAACATAAAGCAACAAAACCAAGAAGAGACAGTGAAAGTTCATGTGTCGACTTGGTCCATAGACGTTTCTCTGTACATAGTGATGAGTTTAGTTCAGTGAATTGTTTTTGACAATGGAAATTTAAAACAAATTTATGTATAAAACAAAAAAACAAAATGCAATGTCTAAAATTAAAATTGATTTTATAATGATTGTCGAATCTACAAATCATTTATCACAACCATATAAAAATAACATTTCTATTCTCAAAAAGTTTATTTTTACGATTCATGTACTTTTACAAAAATGACATGAAAATGTAGGTAGTATGGTCGGTCTCACACTTCTCCCTCTTAGTTTGAGCATACACTGCTCTGTCTTTGGAATATAGATATAACACTTCTAATACCAAACCAATACTAAATTCGTCGTCTGCTTCTCTATCTTCTATCCTTCATGTGTGATTCAAATTCCTATTCTGTCCTTATTTCTCGTCAGTTGTTCTCAACTTCAATACTTTCTTTCGTATGACATCGGTTCATTTTAAAGAGATTTTTTTACTTTTGCTTGATTCCATTTAAAATTAAAGACACACACCATGATTAAAATACAGTTTATACACATATTTGTCTACCAATGAGATGGTTACCCTACGGCCGTGCACATCTGTTGAATGTTTCTAAATTTTCATATTGAATGTTGAATTCTGCTAAACCCGGTGCTAAGGGGCTGGGACAGTAGCTTTCACTTCGAGCATCCTCCATAAACAGGCCAAATCAATCCGAGCCAGCAATATTTTCAATTTTGCCGTTTAGGATGTTCTAAGGAGTCTTTATTTCTTTCTATTTTATGCTCGTGTTTTTCTCGTCTTGTAATTCGGATTGTAATGTTAACATGATTGTGCATCTACCCTCATGTCTGGGATCTTATTTTTGTATTTGAACCATTTGAACAATGTTGAAAACATTTAGCATTTTGTCACAGCAATACATTATAATTTTTCAATTTTGATTTGCACATATTCCATCACAACGTGAATGTAACCTTGCCGTTCTTTACATCATCTGAGTTTTCCTCGTCTTCACCACTCGCGTGTCCCGTTTCATCTTCTTCAATCACCGTATCTTCAAGAGTAAACTGTACCTACAAATTTACCAACAATTACCGTATTAGAAAGGTACAATTCAATCAAAATATAAAGCATGAAATGTGTTTTTACATTGTCAAAAGGAAATTGATATGAATATCTAAAAATAGAAGGAATATTCAATAAAATATAACCAAGCCTGCAGCTACTTTACTTAGATTTCAAGAATGAGCTGGACATATGTTAAATAACATGTCTTAAGTTATTTGGAATCATTCGTTTGGATGAATCTAATGATGAAAAAATTATTATGGTAAGTTAGTAAAGTGAATTTAAAGATTTAGAAGATGTTACATTTGAAATCGATTGGAATCAAATGAATATCATATATAAAAAGTTTCTGGAGACTTTAACTTTATGTTATACCTGACTGGGTTTCCGCTCTTCAAAAGCACGGGTCCCATCTAGATTAAACGATAGACTCTTCGGGGGTAATTTCGGTGACATTTCGCCTTCTTCCACCTTTGTGCGCATGTCACGAAGCACTTTGTTCTGCCGATGTTTCCGACGCAGATGTGAAATCAAATGATGTTTGTGGTCGTGCACCAAGTTTTTGTCATGCACTTTTAGATGAAGCCGCTGATGAGAAAATAAAATTTATTATAAAGTTATATACGTTAATGATGTGTTTTTAAAATTTCATTTCAAGTCTTGAAAGTGTATATAGCTATATATCTGCTTAAATATTATTGTTTGTATTTTGAAACCAAATACTGTATTTCACGTATATTTATATATTTTATGCATGTATGAAAGAAATAATTATATCTTTAACAGCGAATGGTACATGCACATAATCATTGAAAAATTGTAACAGCCATACAAAAGTAGCATAATAATATGTTCACTTTTATTCTGTTTACATTCATAAATCATGTGTTTTAAATAGCAAAAACCGTCCATGTTATATCTGTTACAATAATCGATCATGTAGCTCCTGGAAGCAACATTATTTTACTGATTTTAGATTTGATAATATTTCATAAGATACAGTTTTATAGCATTTATACCTTTTAAAAATAACATTTCAAGCAATGCAGTATTAATTCAAAGTTCAAATATATAATTTCAAATACTTACGCTTCGCACAGAATGTAATGTATTTGCGAAGAACTTATGTACATTATCACCATGCGACTTGTTTTCGTCCATGTTTTCTTGGTCCCTTCTTGATACTATATCATCTGTATAAAAATCAACATATTTTACTTCTTTGAAAACAAAACAATGCTTGAAATGAACTATTTGTTGTCAAAATTGAATCAGCTACCTTTTTGCAGTCTGATAATGTGCTAAAATATGCTTGAAACACTTGCCTATATACTGTTCTTTGTATTTTCTCTAATATTATGAGTAAGCAATATGTAATTGTCGAATTTACTAAAATTAATTCATCTTTAAATAATCTCAAGTATGTAGCATATTTAGATATTTCAAAAAAGGATATAAAATTTACTTATGAACAACTGTATTGATTGGTCATATTCAATCAAAACAGATTTCCCGTGCTTATGTGAACTAAAAACACTAATAAAAAGCTCCTTTCGGTAAGCCTGTCAGTTATTTAATTTCTTCCACTATTGATACCTTTCTAAAATTTGATTTAGGAAAAAAGATATTTGTTCATCAAAGAAACGAAGTCACAAAATAAGTTTGCGTATTGTTGCAATAGACAAAATCATGCAAAAATCATTCTTACAGATAATCATACATCAAGCTTTTCATTGAGAACAAAACAAAGTGCAAATTTATTCACTGGAAGGGAAAGTAATGTGTAAGAGTTACGTTAGTGAGATGACATAAGTGAAGAAAACAATGTACTTGTTATTTGTTAAATCAAATAGAATGATATTTATATAAGTAGAAACCCCTTGTGGCAAAGGTGTTGCCTTTAAGGGTTGAGGCATAAGAATTGCAGCCACAGTTTATCCCAGCGTGATCGTGAGAGGCGACTAAATGTGTTCGAATTACTAAAGTCTATGCATCGCTTAGCTTCAGAAAGTGGGGGTGGTTTGGGCTCCTGGTGTTGTAAGTTTGTAACACCCGAGGAAAGTCAAGATTAAATTTCCTTTCATATGACCTAAATTGTACAATCCAAACAAACAAAATGTAACAGTAGAACATAAAACAAAAACTAGAACTGTGTCCAAAGGACACGGATGCCCCCACTGACAACGTTTATATTGTATATAGTGAAAAAATCAACAAAGGGCCATAATTCTGTTAAATTCGGTCGCAGCAAAAATTCCTTCCTTTACTTCCATCTACACATTAAGGTTGTTCATCCCTGGAAGTTTAAGCAAAATCTGCCATCCGGTTTAAGAGGAGTTGCGTTCACAAAATTTCTACATAGTATATAGTGAAAAAATCAACAAAGGGCCATAATTCTGTTAAATTTGGTCGCAGCAAAAATTCCTTCCTTTACTTCCATCTACACATTAAGGTTGTTCATCCCTGGAAGTTTAAGCAAAATCTGCCATCCGGTTTAAGAGGAGTTGCGTTCACAAAATTTCTACATAGTATATAGTGAAAAAATCAACAAAGGGCCATAATTCTGTTAAATTTGGTCGCAGCGAAAATTCCTTCCTTTACTACCATCTACACATTAAGGTTGTTCATCCCTGGAAGTTTAAGCAAAATCTGCCATCCGGTTTAAGAGGAGTTGCGTTCACAAGATTTCGGGACGTACGGACGTTCCAACATTTTGGCTTTAGGGGCTATTTTCTTTGTTATTTTCTTTGTTTTCTTAAGGGCTACTAGCCCCTAAACCCTTTGATCACGGAATGAACCTATTGTTCTCTTTTGTTCTCTTTACTGTTATATAGCCCCTAAACCCAAAATGTTTGCTCGGACAGACAGACGTACAGACGGACGGACGGACAAGTGCAACGCTATATGCCCCCCACTTTGTGGGGGCATAATCAACAAGGTATAGAAATGTAAACGAAAACAACATGCCGATAAGACACTGGTTCATGACAACGCAAAGCTTGTTTCCATGTTATATGACAAAATAATTATTACTCTCCCAACGTCAAATACAAGAAATACATGAAGTAACTAGCAAAATGTGAACCAATTATTCGTATGTTGTGTCAACCATGTATCAATCGAAAAACAGAAAAAGAAAGAAACCGATATGCACTTTACAGAGTGTGCAAGATTAAAAAGTAAAAAGTAAAAATACTAATGCGTTGTGCAAAATCATATAACATTTAATCATTCTAAACCATTTCTAATATGTCATTTATATCAAGGACACTATTAGCGACAAGAAATATGCAGGAATAAAAACACGGGTGTGACAAAGCAAATTAAAGATGCTTTGAAATAAACTGACACTTATAGTGATTACTGATATTTATTTGAATTCCATTTCCAAGGGAAGAAGTTTCAATATCCGACGAAAAAGTGGCACAACTGTCTTCTCTCTCAATACCCTTTTCTGTAAAATCATTAACCGTAAAATAGATAATGCAAAGATATGATAACCCTATAGATAATCCAAAAAAGCATGCGCACAATGTTACAACTTACTTTGGCTTCATTAATATAGCAATCATACAAATTATCGGACTCGGTTTGGCTTGGAACAAACTATAGTATTAGTACCCTATGGCTTGTCCAATACAGCAATCATACAAATTATTGGAATCAGTTTGGCATGGTACAAACTATGGTATTTTTACAAAATGGGTTATGCAATACAGCAACCATGCACACCATTGGACTCGGTTCTAATACAGCAATCACACAAACTTTTGAACTCGGTTTGGCTTGGAACAAACTTTGACATTTTCTTACACTAAAGGTTTTCCAAGATGGCACTCATAGAATAACCTGATATAATTTTTGGTTCAGCTAGTTTATTGTCAGATCATCTTAATACTCATACTACAGCCTTAAGAGCTATAACACAAACTCCAATTCAAATCAATATTTGAAAGAGATAGGTGTAACTCAGAAGCAACCTTGAATATAAAAACACCGTAACAACATCCCCAATGAATAATGCACTGATTAGATTGCTGAAATAACAGTACAACATTGCAAATATTTCTTAAATGAATCTGAAGAATCAGATTAAGCGGAACAGTGTGGATGCAACAGATTACAAATTGTATTGTAGTAAAACATTTTCTGTTCAATAAGTATATCTATATTAGCGAGCTTGATATATCAAAATGAGTTTTTAAAAAGAGACAAAATCAATGTACTTACAAGTGATGATTGAATGAGAATGTATAAGAATTACTTTCTATGAAGTGAATATTTATGCATACTATTGTATTAATTATTTTCTAGTTACGTAGTCAAAGAATACTATATAAGCATACCGTGTGTTTGATGAGCCTCGTGTTCATCTGTATCGTGACCTAGCTTGTCTAGCTTGTCTAGCGCTAGTTCACTGTCTAAATGTCGTCTGCAAGTACGGAAATAGTAATAAATATATAAATCATCTGCCAGACGAAATAATTTCGTACTTTACGCAGTCGAAGAAATAGTAACTTTGAAAAAGTGGTAGGTTTAGAATGTAAAAGCATCTGCAGATCTTTTCTTAGGTTACTTCCGAACATAAGTACAATTTTTTCAAGAAATTACATTCATACATGTACACAAGGAAACATTAATTCTCTGACTATGAAAAAGGTCAAGTACATTTCAAGGTTTTTTTCTCATGAATTGAAAACATTTAAGCATGAACACTAATCTAACTTACATTTCTGTCTTCACTCGTGGGAGTTTAGCTCCACATAACTGGAGATTTTTATAATGCTCTCTGAAACGAAATAAAGTGAGTAAGGTTAAAGTTTCCTCCTTTTTTCTATTTGACATGTAAAAGAACGCCAAAGTTGTCCTGTGAGTGTGTCATATCACCCAAATTTTCCAGTTTCTGAAAGGCGAAGCTGTCCTAAGCAATCATTATAATATGAACTTCATTCAACAAATAATAATAAAAGTAATCAATGTGAACACAACACTGTTAACAATAATGACAATGATACTTTCTAATCCATCTTACATTCTAAATACATCACCAGTATTCAGTTTAAGGTTAAAGTAAATCATTTATTTTTATTCTTTCAACAAAATATGAATTTTACAAATTATACAATTAATTGAAGACAACATTTCCATTACAGTATAAGCAGAAATAAACTTTACATAGAAAACAAAATCTCATGACTACAATTTAAGCAAACAAAATGTCATGACTTTCAATGTGTTAAAAAGTGAGTAGAGATATCCCCGTCAGAAATAACTAAAATCAGTACTTACTTCATAACAAGTTTCTCGTAAAAATGTGAAATATCGTCGAGGTCCGACTTTGTAGCGTTTCTCAGAAGTTTTGGTCTCATTACTGTATCGTCTATATGATCAAGTTTCTCCTGTAAAAACAATAATTTAATGATGTCTTCCTTATTATGTACTGACATCAACTAAAGGGACTCAACTCATGTATTTTGACTCGATGGGACTGGAAATATTTGTCCGATATATGTGAACCAGGTTATGAAGGTCTGGATCAATAACTTGTGTGCACATTTTCAGAACATTCCCTCACCCCGTATTTACAAGAAGTGTTTCTCTTATTTCAAATTGTATTGTTCAAAATTATGACCTCAGTTGAGTTCTTTAAAACTATGTCGCAGAAAGTTAAAAGATACAAATATAGAAATAAATAATTTATTTCAGTAACCAAATATTGTATAAAAATATGATAAGAATGATGACAGTGGGGCTTCCTAGGCCGAATAGTTAAAGTCATTGACTTAAAAGTCGCTGGCCCTTCACCACTGTGGGTAATTGTCTCGTGTGAGGATATTATCTGGCTAGCTTACGTATGGTCAGTGGTTCTCCTTCTAAGGCACATGATATCATCCAGGGAAACTGCCATATGACTTTCACAGTGTCGTTAAAAATCAACAAAACAAACATACATAATAACAGCATACATGTATGTACAAGGTGATAAAATTGTACTTTAGTTAAACTATATATGTAAATCAGTTATAATCGATTTGTTTAGTATAAACATTTTTTCAAACATTTTGCACACACAAAATTTAAATACAATAATGAATCACACAATACGATGCTGAAAAAGGATCAGATCCAATGCATCAAATGCTTATAAAGGCCTTTTCCTAAATTTGTATAATACGGAAACATATGAAAACCTCATAAAGTCATGAAGACTATTCTATGGCAATGAGAAACAAAATTGGGCTGTTTGAAATACAGATTATACTACAAGACGATGACGGAAAGGTAACTCAACAAACTTACTTTAATATGATGTTCACCAGTTGTGTATCCTACAATTTCTTCGATACCAGCCATAATATGATCAAATACCTGTCAATAAATAGAAATATGAAATTATAAAATACAAATATACTGAAGGAAGTTAAACTATAAGTCTTCGCAATATTAGTTTTTAAGACGGAAATTGAAGCCAATAACGTTCCGTTATATGATATAAATCCTACCACAAATCCGTGATCCTACTGAGTAACAATTTGAACTAATATATGTATTTGGATTAATCAAAAAGGATGATTTACTGAATAGATTTCTGTCATTATTGAAATGGTGACACATTTTCTTCACAGATGAAACATTAAAGGGATTTTGCTGGCATTTTCCAAGATGTATAAACAAAAATAACAGGATACTCACATGATTGGACAGTTCTTCTGTTATTTGCATGTCTGGTGTACTTTCAGCTAACTTCACCCGCAGTTTTCTTACTAGCCATTTAATAGTGCCACCCTATTAGCATAAAAACAAATTTTCAGACTAAAGCTCAATGTAACAGTTCATGTTAAACAAATTCATGTAAAACATGGTAAAAAAGTCACCTAACATGTCAAAATTGAACGTTTGTTTGGGTCTGTCATAGACGGAAGTTGTTAATGCAAACAGTCGTCCGTGTCCTCTTGCGCCGGTTTATGACAAATTCAACATTGAAATTAGTAAATGCTACATTCATAGAATCAGAAATTCTGAAGATATGCTCATACGCTATATAAACTGATTTACATTGAATAAATGAATATGTGTAAATTATAGTGTTCAACAATAAAATTATTACCTGTACAAACACGGTGAAAAATATAACAAACAGAGTTGTAGTAACAAACATGTTCTTCATTGGTATCTCGTTTTCGTCCACCAATGCCACCAATGAGAAACAAACTGCTCCTCGCAATCCACCATAACTCTGAGGCAAGAAAACGTTTGTTGTACACCGCCAATTTATATAAGAATATAGATATTTTCGCTCAGCATGTGTTTTGTTGGATTTAAACTCGTGCACATTTGATCTTACTTTACAAGTATATCAAGAAAATTGTCTTATGACTTGTACACTGTCTGTGTCATGGAAAACTAAATTGTTCTTGCTATGTAAACCCAATTAAATTAATTTCTAAAAATATATGTGTATATTTCTACAGCAATATTTGATCTAAATATATACCAAGTGTTACTTTTTTTGCTCAAAATCGTCGCATTTCTTCATATATTAACCTCATATATTAAATATTCAAGTTTCATGTTCAAATTAAACAATGTATCGATCGACAGGTACAATTCTATTCTTATATCGTTCTTAATATATTCAAGTTAAATTAAGTTTTAAACACATTAATTATTTTAATACAATGTAAATGAAACAAAAAAACTTACAATCATAAACATTTCGTCTAGACGGATTTTTCGTATTCTGCCCGTAGAAAACTTATTGATACAAAGTGACAGACCATACGTCACTGAAAACAAGTAAAAATCCTACATAGCATAACATGATACATATAGATACATTCTAAAGACCTGAATCAAACATCAAAATTTTCAATGAAATAATAAATCTCAAAGCCCTGTACATTTCAATGCTAAGCGGGAATATTAGAAATCGAACGGCAAACATTGAAGGCAATAAAACTGACGAACCAGAAGCAACCAAATCTTCGTCATTGATATTCAAAATGTTGTTTCCTAATGTAAGTTGCAGCACATACAAATATAACTACGATTATAAAATCACTAAAACGGAACCACATCTTTGCCAAAGAAGCTAAGAGGTAGAAGTTATATTATCAATATGTATGTTACATTTAACGTCAAAAATGATTTGTTAAACCACTTTTGGATGTGCTCCGACCCACAAATGGTGATGTAACGGAGCGAATAAATGTGGGCCTGAAAAAAAATGTATATGGTTACTTGCTTTATACAGAATTTATTTTAGCTCGATTGTGTAGGAAGCTATAAGCTTATAGACACACCTGGAACCAACCAATACTAAGCAATGAGTGTAAAGCCTCTTGCTCCATGAAACAACGACTTGCCCTTGACAGGGTTTGAACCCATGCGTTAACAACTCGGTCATGCCGCCATAATGGTTACTTGAAAATAGGAAAAGTACCAAAAAGTTGTAACCGATTTGTTCACCAAAATATGATACAATGTATTTTGTTACTTACGTAATCTTTGAAAAATATTGGTTTTCAAATTTATAGATGTTATCAGTAAATCAATAATTACCTGCAAACCTGTACAAAATGCAAAAGAACAGTGCCCACAAGGTAAACCCGGTTTTCCAGTCATGTGTTTGTTTGATGGTGACGATACCCAAGAACAGGAATATGATGATTTCGCTAGCGGTGCTGAAAATAAAGTCAAGTCAAATACCTTCCAATCATATTTCATTACTGAAACTGAATGACTATTCTATAAATACTACAAATTCTTAACAAATACGAAGTTGTAAAAGAATATCATATGTCTTAACATAAGCAAAAGGCAAATCTTTTGCATTTTACAAAACAAAATGATGATAAAATATGAACAACAAAAGTTGGCATACATATTAAGCAACATCGATTTGATTGAAAGTATATTGTTGCGGGAAGTATTTGCTGTAATCTGAGCTAAGAACACGTTCTGGTAAGCGTGCTTTATATGTCATTGTATGTTAAACTCGTTAGCAAATTATTTGAATTAGGAAAACTTACAGATTTTCCACGTATGAATTAAAAAAGATACATACTAGACTAAAAAAATTGAAATCTTAAACAATTTTAAAATGAAACGAATGTTCTATTCAATACTTACGCCATGACTTTAGCAAAGAACTTGATGGCAAGGCGGGACTTGTTGGTGACATTATGGAAAGCGTAATGGACTTGGATAATGCCACACGCTATTATACTGACTATTCCAGAGAATTCAAAAAGTTCGGACAGAATATATGAGAGGTAGGCAAAACCAAACACAATGAGCGGCTCAACCACTGAAAAGAAAGTAAACATGTTACATTACAATGGCAGAATAGAGTGAAATTAAATCCTTAAAGAAAAATCCTGTTTCACTACAGTAAACCAATGAGAAAAACTAAAAACAAGTGTTTTCTTTTTAACAAACAAATATAAACAAATTTAATTGAAATAACATTAATGTCTAAATAGAGACTTAACCCCTTCCAAAGTAAAACACAAAGACTCGACCCCTTCCTAAGTAAAGCATAGAGACTCGATCACTACCTTAAAGTATAAAGACTTGACCCTTTCCAACGTAAATGATAAAGACTAGACCCCTTTCTAATTAAATCATTAAGACTCAAACCAGTGAGATGGGGTACATTGTTTATAAATTGATTGCGCCTATTTTGAGCCCTACGTGAAATAGGTAAAAAAAGTTACTGCCAGGAACTGCCAAAGCAGATGAAATTAATGTAAGTTGACTAACACATAACAGTAAAGAAAATGTCAGACATATATTAATCACGGACAAGAAATGAAGGGGTGACAAAACATTTTATAAATTAGAAATACATAAGGTCAATCAATGCAATAATTCGCGAGAAAGCCATATTGATGGTCCCGTCGGGAAATATAAACAAATGTTTCACATATAAGTGCTTCTACTTATGTCGTTATGCTGAAATATAAATTGTTCAATGTATTATTAGTCTAGACATTGTAAGAAAGCTTATGACAAATTTTATATAATGACAAAGATAAGCATCTTCCGCCAATGTCGAAACATTTACATGTACTTTATAAATTACATGCAACCACGGATGTAGCTCTTGTGTTTATCACTTTAATTTTTCAATAATTGAATGTCAGAATCGATAAATTATTTATAAAATGTGTACACTTAGCAATTGGGCCTACCTTTAACTGAATTGGTATATTTGGTGATAAATGACGACAACAGGCCACAAATTATACCTATTGCCAGCCCGAAGAATACCACAATGAAGAATTTGGCAATACCTAGAAAAATCTGAAAGAAAAGACATAAGTAAACGTAGGTAACTTTGTAAGACAAAAGTAATACTGATTAATATAAACAGTACATTAGAATATGATATCTTGATTGGTTCAACTATCAGTTTCCTTAAAACGTTCAGTCATATGATCAAACATTTTTATTCTACAACTGTCCGATCTACGTCCGTCCTTCTCTATGCTCATTTCATTGCTGGTTTTACATTTACCTGTGCTGATTGTTTAATATTGCATCTTTATGGATATGTATCTGAGTCCAAAAAGGTACACTAATGGTTTGGATTATTCTATTCAAAAGTTGTCTATAGGAACTTATAGTCTCATTAAAATCATAGTACCTAACTGCCGCACCATGACTCCCGGAAGTAAACATAAACTATCTGAGCAAAAACGATGAGCTAGTATCAATACGTTTACGGGTCATTTGCTTTCTATACAAATCGATTTGGATTAAATGCAACTACTAACATATCAAGCGATTAAATTATCTAGGTAAAAGGGAATGAACAAACTGTAGTATTAATAAATCTGATTAAATAGTGAGGTATGGATTATCTATAATCTTTTCATTTGCAAACTTCCTTACCTGATCAACAGTGATGGTAGGCATGGTATTGAATATTTGCATAACATTGTACAAAACTACGGTTACTCCATCTGAAACAAATTAAGTTATATGCATGTATGTATGAACTGTAAATGTTTTTTTTTTAATAACCGAGGATTCTGATCAACTCGTCAGTTCATATTGCAGTGAAAATTGTAGAAAATTATGAAAGCATATGTCCTTTTTCAAAAAGTTAAAATATCATTTTCTCAAAGCTTTATAACATTTTTCTATCAGCAGACCATAAAGAAATGGCAAGACAGAATGTGCGAACAAAACTGTCAAGAAGAATGAACTGAGTCAACATTTGATACAACTTATATCAATAACATATTGAATAAACATAGACAAATAAAGCCAAGGGAATTTATTTATCTCTTATTCTGAATAATCATGTTGTGGAACAATATAAACAAATGGAGTTTTTATGTAAATAAAACAAATAACACAAAGATTCCCTACGTAATATATGAATCATTTTTGATACTTTTTTTATCAACTTACCGTTCAGCAAAGATTCTCCAAAGACCAAGAAGTATAATGTATTGTTAACGCCAACTTCTTGGAAAACGGCCAGAACCTGAAAACACAGAGACGAAAACCAATGTCGTTCAAATGTCTAGACTAATCAGAAACACTACTGAAAACCTCAAGAGGGAAATGAAAATCGGAACGATAGCATTGAGTGATGGCCAGTGCCCTAAGAAGGTTTTAACATCTCTCATTTCAATGTACACATCAATCAGGTTAACTTGGATCCTTTATCTGGTGTGACAATAATTCAGGTCAATAAAGAAAGCAATAAGGAAAACAAATTGAATATAATATGATATGACAACCTCATTCCCAAAATACGAACTTATTTATGAAATACCAACATCTTCCAGAAAATACAGAATACAAATGCATAAATCATTATCAACCATTTTGAAAGGTCATTAAGAGTTTACATATTTATTTCTTACCGCAACTGGATCTACTGCTACAATTAAGGCACTAAACACTAACATCTGTACAAGTGAGGTATTAACGTCCTCCATGGCACCGGCTTTATACAGTCCATACATACTCAATCCTGTAAAATATTAACAATTTTTCTAGATAAAAGGTTATCTTGTTTTTTAAAATTATCTTTTTTAAAGTCTTGGATTCAATTATTTTGACATTTGTTATCATCTCATGATATATGTATAAGCGTGTTTGATTTGATGAATTTCTTCAAAATGCATTTGATACAAGAACAATCAATGCACTATTTAAGAGGACAGTAATAATTATTTTATTTCCTTCCAGAAGATTGAAACAGTAAGCTTTCATGACTTGCTGTTTTTCATTATTTACTTTTCTGTCAGCATTTTAATTCAGATATGTAATATACAATATCATAACAATACTAATTAATTTCGAACATTTTGTTTTGATAAATTATATACGGAAGCGTATCAGGGCCTACAGTTGGTGAGATGTTTTGCGCTAAGTCGACTAATTTTTATTCGCATTGATAAGACGTTTTTGCATTTCTCAATAAAATTTACTGACAAAGATGCGAAGCTTTTAGGCATTGCAACTGATTTTTTCTCAATATGCTTGAAGCTTTTGTCTCTTCGACAAAAAAACTGTCGAAACTTCTCGATTTCACGACTTTGCTGAAATATTTAGTAAGACGCAAAGACGTTACTCGTATTGACAAATAGCTCACGTAATTCAACAAAGTTTTTTTGCAATGATTAAAAACTTGTACTTATTACGTATTTTATCATAACGTCTTCATGGAATGTTTTATGTATTACGTATTAATTATAACGTCTTCATGGAATGTTTTTGGTCAAAACGAGAAGAAACAAGTTGACATGACGTGAAACCTTTAGATAAGTGGAGGCACTGATAAGCTTCCGTAATTATACACATTTACATAGTATTAATGTTTTTATACCTTTTTAGTTTCAAATGTTACAAATGAATTTATGTTTTTCTAGAATTTTGATATTTCACTTTTAAGAAAATGCAAGTATTAATTTGCAGTCTCAACCAAACGAGTCTGCAATGTTCATGTGAATTTGTTATGATTAATGCTTCCGAGGGATTACCCCTTTTCCAGAATTTTAGCATTTAGCTATTTTAAATAATAGAAATAAACGTGTATGAAAATGCCTTACCTATCTAATTAAACGGTTTAAATTGTTTGCCTACTGTATATAATTAAACGGTTTCTAAACTGCGTTTGACTTTTTTCATTTTAACCAATTTCAACGAGTGACAATCAGTGCATTACATTTACTTGTATCAGAAATAATTTTATGAGTGAAAGCCAGAAATTTGCCATTAAATATTGCTTAATGTAAAGTTAACAGCTCCCGGAATTTTCGCAAACTCATCTCCCCAATTCAATGCAGTTTAATGGCTTTCATTCGTCTTTTATAAAGTTTATTCAATTTCAAAAGATAACTAAAAAACTACAGCCAATTTGTCAGATATACGATCCTTATACATACTTGAAGCCACAAAGACACAGAGATGAATACGGTGAATGTTTTATGAATTGATTTATGGCATGTAAGATGCTGACCACGCCTAAAGAACACTGTTGAATGCGAAATTATTTGTCATTAAAGTAGCAAATCTTATACAAAGTTGGTATTTTTGGTATACAAATTCACTATATTTGACCTAATGGCCCCAAAAAGCAGAAGTGGCGATTTGGCCGAGTGCTTAACGCGTCGGGTTAGTAAAAGGAAGGACACTTTAAAGGATATCTTTGAATATTATGTAAAACGTAATTTTATCTATGCAAGTTTTCTTGTGATACAATTGTATCGGTCTTAAATAATTTAATATTTTCATAAACAACTCCATGCCTGCTGAATTTTATATAATTATTAGAAACTATGTATATATAATCTATTAGAAACTAAGAAAGTAAATAAGGTCTACAAAACTTTCCAAGTATATCAAATAATATATAATCAGTAGTACTAATATATGAGAACGGCAGTCGCATATCTGAAAGATATTTTATAAAATATATAAGAATATACATTTATAATGTAAAGTTGGAAACAAAACGGATAAAAAAATGCCTAAGAATTCATGTTTGTTTGGACATGATAAAAAATCGAAGCAAATGCAAATTATCCATTCGTCTTCAACATAACAAATACATATTAAGCAGATATCCTATAAATACATTGTTTTACGATGCAAATGAAGCAATCGAACTAAAGGACATTATCCATCTCTGCAGACTAATGCATTGTTTCTAAGATATTGAAATATTTACACTAAATGCGAGCATTTACAAATAAAATGTTCACACAACCAACATAATTATAAGTTGCTGGTCCCGAGAAATGTAACGTTGTCTTAGTCCATATTTCTATACGTTGCGAACATTGTAAACATGATAAATATGTTGTGTGTCTTTCGAAATGTAATGATTGCTTAAACAAGGAATGTATATGTTGCGGGCACTTTGAGTTCCACTTCAAGCTTACAGTCTGATCACAAAGTTATTCTTTCATTAATTAATTTTATAGTAATAAATGATTGATTTATATTCATTATCAGATTACAAACTGAATTCAAGTAAACACTGAAATATAACCTTTGATAAATCAATAAAATATAAACATTGACAAACTATATTTACCATTTCTACAAAACTACATTTGAATGAATACGTTTGAATAAAAGCAAACAAAAGTGTAAGTTAGATATAAGTAAAGATAATAAAATCACTGCCATTTTTTCCAATATCAATCAAGCACATCACTTTACAGAGAAGGAGAAAAGTAAGAAATGGAAATGACGTACAACAGCCGATTTATAGACTCTCAGACTGTTTTATTAAAACGTTATAATAAAGGTGATAAAAAATACTTTCTTTATAACTTTTTAATATCATTCAAATGCACCACTTAGCAAAGAGTGAGATGAGATAAAATCATGTTACCTACACCATCGTTAACAACGATTTCTTTAAGGCGCACATGTCAGTTTAATGTTTTCAGAGTCTCTTAGTGTTGAAACAATTAATTCTAAGCTTGTCAGAATCAAATGTTTTTCGTGATCTTATTAACATTTTAAAGATATCTGTAGAATTTTAAAACAAAAATAATTCTGTGAATTTTGCAGGCTTGAATTGATTGAATATGCTTATAGAGGACAATAAGAGCCGGTCGCCTAGAACATATTGAAATATGAAAAACATGATTAACAATGAAAGGATGGCATTCAACAAACACATCCCCTAACATGGGACTACCAGTAAGGAGTTCAAATAGTACAAGACACATAGGTATTCCCGGACGCCATATTCAATTTCAACACCAAGCTATTGGATTTTATTCTCTACTGGAATACATGACCTCAAAAGAGCCCATAAAATATATAATGAAGAATTGGGCAAAATTTACAACTGCCACACAGGACTGTTTGGGTTTGGTGTCCTGCTGGGCTTCTTGTCGGTGGTCCTATGTTGCTGAATAGTGTAGATGTTGCGTTTATTGAGCTCCGCCTTACCTTGTTGATCTTGTTTTTCATATTTTTGACACCAACATTTGTGGGAATTCATAGAATCTACAAATCGACGGGTGAGGGGGAATAGTCCGCCGTCTAGAATTATGCAAACAACAAATTAAAAACTCTAAATATTTCTTTATTACGCCTGCAAGGACAAACCAATTGCTCTTCTAATCAACTTAGAGAAAAAGTCAAGCTCTTTGTTGCAGTTGGCTTATATCTGGATCTGTTTCGTCGGAAAAATCAATACCATGATCACCTTTTTAAAGCGAGTCTGAAAGTGGCATGCTTGGTAAGGACATAATCAGTGTTCTACTCCTATCATTCATATTTATTATTATTCCTTGACGACTTACAATCAAATTTCGAAGAAGAAAGAAATAACAAATTTGGATTTTACAACAAATCCTATCTTTTATTTCCTTTGGTAGAATAAATTACATAAGCATCTATTTTATTTTTCTTTATATCCTTTTTATGTTTGGTTTTACGGCGCTGCAACACAATTTATATCATATGATGCCGAAACAGGAAATATGATTTTGGCTAAGCTCGGGTGCTATACCAGGGGTCAAAAACACCTCACCTGCTGGAGCTAAAAGATGCATGAACTCTAGCAATTCGAACACATTTATTCGCCTCTTATGATCACGCAGCAATAAACGGTGGCTGCAATTCTGATGCCTCAACTCTTTAAGGCAACCCCTCAGCCACAAGGGGGCGGGGCGGGCATAAAAGCTAAATAGAAATTCCTTGTGTTATGCATAACCCAATAAGATTGTCTAAATAATTCCAACTCGCTTTTCTTAATGTCAAATATATAATAAATTTCTTTCTTGTTTTCTTATGAACTGTTCTTTATGTAAGAACCTTATGTCTAGCTAGACTGTATATACAAGTATATATGTGGGCAATGAACAAACATTATCCAATTCATCACATAAAGAATGCATTTCTAGGAACAACAAAAAAGTGATCAGTCACTCCCTGTGCTCAATAAAAGATCCATTACAGCATGCAATGCGTGTCGCTTTCACTGTAATAAAATACCGTAATAAATGAAATGTATATGATAAAAATAATTTTACAAAATAAGGCTGTTATCTCTTTTGTAAACCAAAACTTGAGACTTGTACTGGTGTAAAATAGGTTAACATGGTGGAGACCCGAGTGGGACTCGATTGTAATGAAAACTTGTAGGTTTCTTGAACAAGTTAAAACTTAAATATTAAAATCAGCAGGGAAGAAAACTGTTCATGGAAAGCAGTCCCCGATAACGTCAGTATCACAGGACAACTGGAAAGTCCCATGGATTTGCAACAAGGTCCGTTTTCGAGAATAATAAGTATTGGTGTCATTTGAGGAAACATGGCCATGATTATGTAAGGCCTAACCAATGAGCATTTGGTTGAGAGGCAGATACCTTCATTAGGCCAATTCCCCTCAAAAATTAAGAAAAGTTAGTATATTTTTTGTCCTCAAAGAAATAAATGACTTGCTAATAATTTTAAAGTTCTGATTCGTCTAAATATCAAATGCAAATGAAATGTTGATAAG